TTCTAAGGCCCCTTACACTCCTAACTATTCCAGACAGAGTATGGGGGCGGTTACAGCATTCAGCCAAGGGCCACTGGCAAACTCCCCCACCCTTAGTTAATGATACTGAAAAAACAGTAAGATTTTCCTTTGTGTATGATACCCTTCGCCTATCTCTGTATACTTTTTATTACATTGTATGTAAGAAATCTTCTCCATAGAATGGCAGGGACTTTCAGCTCCCCAGCTGCTTAAGCTAGCACCTGGTACCTTGTAGGCAGGAAGTCACATGGAACTGATTACTGAGCTTTACACATCACTACTGGAAACCAAACAAATTCTGATTTTCACATTTTATACTCTAATGGTGACCTTGACACAAAGCTACCTCTTAAATCACTCAACCACATTTGAATGTTCTCTCAAACTAGTTTACAAATCACACAACTAATACCCTGCAGAACCCTCTATCCCCAAGATTATGATTGGCCTTGCAACTTACTATCCTATTCACAAACTCTTACAACCTGTAACAAAACAGTCCTTTTCCAGGGCCCAGGTGCAAACTGGTTTCTGCTTTGGTTTCATTGTTTGCTTAGATCCAACCAAATTGCCTTTTATATTTAGGTAAACTTGGAATTAAATCTTAAAATAAGAAGTGGAAGAGGGTCAAACTTCAAATAATGCAAATAATGGGATGTTTATCTCTTGGTACGCTGCACCTTTATGGTTACGTGGGCTACTGCAAACAACATGGGCTTCTGAGGTCTAATCTGAACTCCCAGCTCTACTGCTTCCTAGCCTGAAAATCTTAGGGAAATTAATTAAACTTGCCGGACCTCAGTTTCTTCATCTGAAATATGGGGACAACAGTATGTACTGTACAAGGTTGTTGCAACAATTAGATGAGCCTGATAATGTGCCTGACATACTTTAATTTTCTTTTTTTAAAAATAATTTTTATGAGTTTATTTGAGTCAAACTAATAAATTATGCCCAGAAGCAAGATCTCAAATGCTCCCTGGCACACATAATGTGAAAGTGAGTAAAGGTAATCCTCAACTTCCAAAAACAATACTCCTTTCACCTGTAAGGTTCAGTTCAATTCTTTTGGTACATTCAGGAGTAATTCATTCACTGTTTCATTCAGCAAGTACCTAATAATCTATGTAATGCAAGACTGTATTATTAAAACAACTTCTGCAAAAATTCAACAGCTTTGAAAAAATTCAATAGCTATTCACTATGAGACCACCACTCTGAGTCAGGCGCTTGACCAATTTCCTCATATCGACCTCCAAAAATAAGTGATGGTCCCTTCATTGATAAGGACACCAGTGGCCATGTGAACTTGGAGCTGCACTTCAAGTTCTCGGTCCCAGAGCCCTGAACCATGCAGGGAATAAACCTCTGCTCCCTGTCGAGGAACTAACCCCTACCTTTTGCCATTGTTCCTGTACAAAAATGAAACCCGATTTCCAAACTAATTTTATAATTCCTTTTTGGAACACAGCCAACACATAAATCGGGGACTTCTATTGCACCAGTAGATTTTGCCTGTTTTTCTTTTCTCCCTTCTAAAGTTTTCTGTTAATCCAGCTATCCTTCTATCTTAGCCATTCTAGAACCAAAAACACACCTTTTTGTATAAATGGAAAAGTTAACATATTCACACAGTCTACTAGTTAAAAAATAGCGATGACCATATGGAGATTCAACTTGTGACACCATTTATTTTATGATTTTAAACTTGTCGTAAGTTTCAATCTTACTTAAAATTTAATAGGAATGCCCTCCATAGTCTGAATTATGGAAATTACTTCAACATTCTAAAGATGCAAAGGTAACTTCCTGACTCTCAAAGGTGATTCTGGGCACTGACCAGAAGTGGAGAAGCCAAAGGTCCTGAGTGCACCTGCTACTATCAGGGGCGGCTCAGGGCTCTCTGTCAGTGTTGCTTAGCCTTTGGGAATAAGGACTACTTTGAAGATAAGATGGAAGGGTTGGCTTCCCCCCTCTACAAAAATCTGAACACACATAATTTGTCTTCTACTTTAGGGAGCTGAAAACCTCCTGAGGTCCACCCATGGTCCCCAGATTAAGAACTCTTGCTCTAAGTATATTGTACATTATTTTATTATGTATCCATACTTACCACACTGTACTGAGACTGTCTGCAAAGTCTGTGGGGAGGCCCTCATGCCCCCCTGCAAAGTGACTGAGAGGACTCAGACTCACCTCTATATGTTCCCTAGGCTCAACAAACAAACATCTGGCACTTAGTAGCAGAGCTCCCATGCAATTCACTGTCTAAACTAGGACATTTTTGACGCTGAGACCGGAAGGAGGCACTGTTAACAATTACGACAAGCATGAATAAGGGCTGTCCAAGGCACACGGGGATATCCAGTCACTCTAGGAGGCCCTGTGAGATCACCTGGGAACTCACAATCTGAGGCTACTTCCACCTTGTAGATGGAAATACGCAAAAGGGCTCCCTGTTAAAATCATGTGGCCTGTCAAGTGTAGCCAATGAACTGGAGGGTCCTCTAGTTAGGCCTGCACCAACTGCCAGATGCACAGATTTTACTGTTTGTTCTCATACAATCACCCTGTAATTGAGGATTCTTGGGAAAGTTTAGAACTAATTCTTTATTCCTTTTATCCATAAAATGGTGAACTTGCCCAGAGAACAGAATGATAAATATTCCTGTGTTTCCACTACCTAGTACATTTGGCAGATGGTAACTTATGTTTGTTGAATGAAAGAATGATAAAGTCTCCTTACCTGATAAACAACCTGTTGCATACCAGAAGTAATCTGAAATAAGTGCCTAACTTTTAGAGGACTGTACCAGAACTCAAGCATCGTGGCTACTGTCTCATGTTCCAGCAATCACTCTGGAAGGCTGCACACTGATTCCAACAGCACTGCTAAAGCACAGAACATTTTGGAAATGTCTCTTTTGAGTGACCTTTAGAACCTGCAGAACACTCTCTTGGTGCTTTCAGTGGAAACAAATCTTCCTCCTTTCAAGGTGAGCTGCTTTGAGAAATGGCAGGAAGACATTCTGAGCCTGGTCTGGTTAAGTGAAGTGAGGTGAGTTACAAAGCCAGACAAGACAATTTGGGGTCAAACATAGGGTGTAACTATTCAGTAAGATAAATTTTCTCAGATGTCTTGTGTATTTAACTACCAAAACAGGAGTTCCCAAGTTTTGACTCATAACCTCTCGTGTTAACAACTTTAAATAGAGCAGTCCCTATCTGAATGCCTAAGTTTTGGTTCATTTGGTTAAAATTCTCATTCATAACTTCATATACTTACAAAATCCAAAGGAAGGGTGGCATGGTTGGTGAAAGACAACACTCCCAACTAAGTCTGATCACCAAAAAACCCTCAGAGGGAGCACTCACCTTGAATGATCTGTAGCTGTTGGAAAAGTTTTTTTTAATAAAGTTTTAAACATGAGCAAGGCCACAGCTTACCTGTTTGCTCTCTGCAATGATTCCACAAAGCTTTCTTACAGAGTCTGAGCATTTCCCACCCCAAACTGGAGAGGAGTTCCAGCCTTTGGTACACATTTGATTGGTTTCCGAAGGTGGCTGGGCTCCACGCATCTCAGACTGTAAAATTATCAGGCAAAGACTCCCTTCCCAGGACTTGGACATGGGAATCAGCCCTAGTCCAGGTTCACACTGATAATCCCAACCTCTGCTCTGGGCAAGGACCACTCCACAAGATATACAATGAAGGTGAATCTCCAGGGAGAAACGATGGTATGGGTATGGCCCTTGGTATGCCCCTGAACAGTACTTCTATATATGTCAAGTGAAGTACTGCTGTCAAATACTCTCTTCCACTCTCCCCGAATGGATCTGAAGACTGACCAACTCTTGCAACAGAGTTTGCTGGTATTTAAAATGATCAATGACACTACCCGGCAAACTCGGCTGTCATAAAGTATTTTGAAAAACTTATGTTTTAGCAGGAGCAAGACTGGAAGTAGCTTCTTCCAGCATCGTAGTTGCAGTGCGTTTATACTAAGGACAGGCATTCTTTGGGCTCCTACCCAAAGGGGCAAGAAAGTTACATATTTCTAAGAGTGGGGTGCGTCTTGGGGCACAGCCAATACGTACAACCTGTGCACAGTGGGAAGCTGAGTGAGCAAGTTCCAGGAGGCTCCAGAGAGCTCAAAGTTCCCGAAGAGCCCATGTGCAGTCCGAGCTAGCTGCCTCCGGAAAGCGAACCTGCGTGCCTCCCCCCAAACACTTAAGTGGGCTGCAAACATGTGCCACGCGAATGTCCCGGAAGAGAAATGACAGCTTTAGGAGAATCAACTCCACCGCAGGACGCAGAGGCAGCCGCAGGGAGCTCGGACTCTTAAGAGGTTCCAGGGTCCCCCAGGCCGGCTCGCCGCGGACGGAATACGGGATCGTGCTACCTTAGCATCCTCTACTCCGGGTCCAAGAGCCACGCTTCGGTCCGAGGGGGTGAGCAGCCCGGAGGCGGGGGTAGCGGGCTCCCGGGCCTGGGCTCGGCACCGCCACCACGCTCCGCGCCTAGCCGCCTAGGCCTCTTCCCCGCCGACCAAGCCACCTCGCCGCCTACCTCAGCGCGAGGACGGGGAGGGGGCCACGGTTCCGCTGGGGTCGGGGCGGCGCGGGGAAGACGTCCCTCGGCCCTTCCGCTCCTTACAGGATCCGGCTGGAGGCGCGACGCGGGCGGAACAAACGGGCTCCACTACCCGCGGGGGCCGGCCATTGTGCTACGTCATCAGGCCGCGACGGCCGTCCCGCCGAACGGCGGGCTTCCCTCTCTTGCCCCGCCCTCCACCCTCTGTCTTCCGGCCTCCGTGCCGCCGCCGCGCGCCTCTTCGCCTCCGCGCCTCTTCGGCCCCACGCCTCTCCGACTTCGCGCGGCGCGCCCCCACGAGCTCTTCACGGCGCAAGCGCGGCAAAAGGCCCCACCGCGGGGCTAGATGTGAGTTAGTTCGCTGCCTGCCGCAGGACGTTTGCGGGGAGGGCTTACGGTGTGGCGTGGTCACATGACGCATCGAGTTACCGCCTCGGGGACAACCGCTTTCGGATTGGACAGGTTTACCCTTCGCGGAGGTGGGAAGTTTTTTTGGGGGGGGCTTACAATTTTAAATGTTTCTGTCGAAGTAGAGAGCTCCCGTTTTGTTAAATTCAAGCACCCAACAGGAAATTAATCGTTTTTGAGATACTGGTTTAGTGAATTGAGCACGGGCCTGCGATCTGAATGGGCGCCGGTTCAATTCCTTGTCAGGATACATGCAAGGGTTGCAAGCCAGGTTCCCAGTTGGGGATGTGTGAGAGGCAACCTATCACTGTTTTTCAAACATCGGTGTTTCTCTCCCTCTCTTTATTGCTCCCTTCCCCTTTCTCTGGAAATAAATGAAAATAAAAATCTTAAAAAATGAGATATTGAGTCCTGGCTGGATAGTTCAGTTGGTTAGAGCACTGTCCTGAGATGTCAAGGTTGTAGGTTCGATCCCCAGTCATGACTCTAAAAATAACTGGAACAACATATGGATGGTTCTCTTCTCTCTCTTACTTCCTCTTGCTCTCTGAAATAAATTTAAAAAATTTAAAAGTAAAAGAGAGATACTTTAAATGTCAAAGTCACAACATTTTAAACTATTTTCGTGGGACCAAACAGCTCCTGCTCTATTAATCAGTTCAACATAAATATTTTTGAAATAGTTTAAACATAAAAAAACTTTTGACTGTCCCTGCTTTCTTAAAAGTAATCAGCTGGGAATTTTTCTACATTATTGGCAGAAATGTGAATTGGTTCAGCTACTGTGGAAATCAGTATGGAAATTCCCCCCAAAATTAAGATTAGAACTGCCATGTGAGCAGCCCTGGAACCTAAGGAACAAACAGACACTCGCCATGATAGTGGGGACTGTGAACCAGACAATTGCGGTTCAATTCCCAGTCAGGGCACATGCCTGGGTTGCAGGCTGGTTCCCTGCAGGCCACTTCCCAGCAAGGGACGCACGAAAGGCAACCATACATTGATGTTTCTCTCCTTCCCTTCCTCTCTAAAGATAAATAAATAAAATCTTAAAAAAAAAAAAAGACATCTGCATTCCCATGTTCTTGCAACATTATTTACAGTAGCCAAGATATAGGAGAAACCTAAGTGTCTGTGGATAGATGAATGGATAAAAAACAAATGGAATATGTATTCAGTGGAGTACTTATTCAGCCATAAAAAATGTGAAATCCTGCCACTTTTGACAACATGGATGGACTTTGGGGGTGTTATGCCAAGTGAAGTAAGTTAAGTCAGACAAAGACAACTACCATATGATTTCACTCACATACAATTAACACAAAAACAAAACAAAAGCAAGCTTGTACAGGCAGACAACAGACTGGTGATTACCAGAGGGGAAGGAGGTGTGGAGGGAGGGCAAAATAGATAAAGGGGTCAATTATATAGTAGCAAATGGAAATTAGACTTTTGGTGGTGAGCAGGATGTAGTATGTATAGATGTCAAATTATAGTGTGACACACCTGAAACTTCTGTATTCTTATAAACCAGTGCTACCTCAATAAAATAATCAAGCACCCAACTCAAAAAATTAGTTTTGAGATACTGAATTTAAATATCAAAAACTGAATACTTCAAACTATTTCCACCAGCCCTGGCTGGTATGGCTCAGTGGATTGAGTGCTGGCCTGTGAACTAGAGGGTCGCTGGTTTGATCCCCAGTCGGGGCACATGCCTGGGTTGTGGCGGGCCAGATTCCCTGGTGCAGGGAGTGTGGAAGGCAGCCACACATCGATGTTTTTCTCCCTCTCTTTCTCCCTCCCTTCCCCTTATTTAAAAAGATAAATAAAAATTTTTTTAAAAAGTTCTGTTTAAAAAAAATTTTTAAAAAACTATTTCCACCATGCCAAATAGCTTCCACTCTATTAAATATAATTACTTTAACACAAAATTAATTATTTTTGAGATACAGAGTTAACCATCAAAGCTTAAAATTTTAAAACTATTTCTGTCAGACTAAAGAGCACTGTCTTTTAAATGTGATCAGCTTAGCCCTGGCCATTGTGGTTCAGATGGTTGGACCAAAAGGGTCATGGGCTGATTCCTAGTTAGGGCAAGTACCCAAGTTATGGGTTCGATCCCCAGTCAGGGTGCAAACGAGAGGACATCTGATTCTCTCTCTCTAAAAACAATGAAAAAATCTGTGTCGGTAAGGATGAAAAAAGTTAAAATGTGATCAGCTTAACTCTGTGTAAACTTTCATAATCAGAAAGGCATGTCAATTTGAAGTATTTACAATTTGCCACCCACCCTGCAGTGGGAGCCATAGCGGCCGGCAGCCTGCGGGAAACCAGCGAGTGTGCTGGTTTCCCGCAGCGAGTGTCACTTCGAGACAACTGTGCTTGGAAGGGAACTGGGCTTGATTGAATTCCCTGCTGTGTCTGCCTTAAAAATCTGGTGTTTTTTTTTTGCTTCTGAGTTTTTATCAGCATGACAAACATCCATACCAATGTGGGAGGTGAGAGTGGGAGAAGAGGGAAGGGGAGGGCAGGGCAGAGGAAAGGACAAAGCCCCAGTTTCTCCCCGTCACGGATATCGTAGTCCCCCAGAGGAATGTGGTCCTTCAAAATCATGCACTACTTCTTTAGTACAATCTTTTAAAAAAATTTATTCTAGTATTTCTGTGTATAATTTTTTTAAAGATTTTATTTATTTATTTTTAGAGAGAGGGGAAGAGTGGGAGAAAGAGGGAGAGAAGCATTGATTGGTTGCCTCTTACATGCTCCCAACTGGGGACCTGGCCAACAACCCAGGCATGGGCCCTAACTGGGAATCAAACCAGTGACCTTTCGGTTTGCAGGCTGACACTCAATCCACTGAGCCACACCAGCCAGGGAAATATCTTTTCCTAATGGACTGTAATTGTTTTGAAGGTCCCCAGTGGTGTCATCAGTATTGCTCTTCACATTGACCTTCTTCCACAGACAGTAGTAAGTAGCCTTCAGCATCCTGTCTGGAGCTGCACAGAGCAGTGGTCGGGAGGCAGCAGAGGCAGGACGTCAAGCTTCCCGGGCCCCAAGACCTTTGCTAAGACTCTTCAGTTCCTAACCTCCCAGACCAGAGGCTTCCAGGGCCCCAGGTTCTCAGGACTGTGAACCCCAGGCAGTTGGGTCTCCCACCTTAGGGTAGTTTCTCACGGCCAGTGGACTGTAGGTGGCTGGGTTCTATGAGCTCTCTCCCGGTCAAAACCACTCCACCTACCCCCTCATGTCAAATTGCCTAGAACCTCCCCACCTTAAAATTCTTTTTTTTTTTTTAAGACTATTTATTTTTTTTAGAGAGAGGGGAAGGGAGGGAGAAAGATAAGGAGAGAAACTTTGATTGGTTGCCTTTTGCAAACCCCCAACCAGGGACCTGGCCAGCAACCCAGGCACATACCCTGACCAGGAATCAAACTGGTATCCTTTGGGTTTGGGGGACAATGCCCAACCCTTTGAGACACACCTGTCAGGGCCCGATCTTAAAATTCTTAATCATTTTGGGACAAGGGGCCCAGGTTTTCATTTTGCTCTGAACCCTGCAAATTATGTAGCTGGTCTTGGGGGTGATTACAGGTTTGGGAGGCTGGTGAGCAGACAGGCCTTTCCTCACACCATGTTCCTTCTCCAGGAAAACTCTTCCTTGGTGCAGTGTGCCACCATTCTACCCACAAATGTGAGTGTCTGGTCCACAGTAAAACTGAATGAACTCAGATGTTTGCCCTAAGTTATCTGAATGAACGGGTGAGGAAGGGAAGAAATGAGGGCATTAACAGAGTCACCGTATAATCCAGCAGTGCCATGTCCAAGTAGCTAACCCAAAAGAAATGAAACGTGCACACAAAAACTCGTACAGAATCGTTCGTAGCATTATTCATGGTAGCTCAACAGTGGAAACAACCTATCAACTGATGATGGGTAAATATGTAAAATATGATCTATGCATACATGGAATATTATTCAGCCAAACAAAGAAATGAAGTCTCTGTAAGAAGAGATATCAGAGAGAGACCTCTGTGCCTCTGTCTCTCACTCTTCACCCCTGTCATGCAAGGACACAAGAGGCCAGAGTCTGCCAGCCAAGAAGGAGGCTCCAACCAGATCCCTGTCATTTCATCATCCTCTTGGACTTCCAGGTCCCAGAACTGTGAGAAAATAAATTCCTGTTGTGTAAAGCCCCCCAGTCTATGGTACTTTGTCATGGCAGACTGTGCTGATTAACATGCCATTTACACGAACCATCCAGAAGAGGCAAATCCATAGTCACAGAATAGATTAGTGGTTACTAGGTGTTGGAAGAGGCTAAGTCCCCTCCAGCAGTTCCCTCTGCCCCCAGATGAAACCCAAATACTGGAGCCTGATGCACCTGCTCTTTATAATCCAGCCCCACCAACTCTTGTGCTCTCTCTCCCTTGCCTTCAACTTGCTCTACACTTTTCTTTGCTCCCATGTCTTTGCGCACGCCACTCCTGCTACCTGGAGCACTGTTCCCACTTTTCCCTTTCATCTAGCTGGCTTTTAATTGTTCTTCTGGTCTCCCTTGGTTGGATCTCTTTCCAGAGCCCTTGTCTGTCTTTGCAACTGGGCACAAGCTCCTAGAGGAAGAACTGATCACCCTGTAGCCCTGGGTCAGGCCCCAGGTCAAGCTCTGAGTTACTCATCATAGTATATGCAACATCTGGAGTGTGTAGGGTGTGTGTGCGGTGGGGGGCATTTAGAAAGACAGAAAATGGCTGAGATGGGATTAGATTCCAGGTCTCTCCAAACCTAAACACCATGGGCTTGAACCTCTGCTCTTTGAGCCAGAGGCCCTGGGTGTGTGGGTACAAGCAGCACCCCTCTAAGACTCAGTTTCCCTGCTCTGTAAAGTGGGGCTATTTACATCTGCTGCCTCCCTCTGTGGAGGGAGTGAAGAGATGATATGGTGACAGTTACAATTTGGTTTCTGGAGCGCTTTGCCCAGGGCAGGCCTTGTGCAGAGGTTCTCCTGAGCAAAGCCCCTCACTTTACTCCATTTCATAGTTGGGGGAATAGAAGGTGCAAAACTGCAGAGCTTTGATTTCACCCCAGGTTGGTTAGACCACAAAACCCAAGCCCTTTTTGACATAACGAATGATGCTCTCTCCAGATTACATTACTCTGGCTGTGGCCGTCGTGCAAGAGAAACGAAAACATCTGCTTTATCATGTGGGATCACTGTCACTAGCAGTCACTTTGACGCTGAGATGGGCATATTCCCCAGCATTCTGAGTGCGGACAGGCATGCTACCACCTTGAAAAAGGCCACCTGGTCAGTTGAGAACAATGGCCCAAGTTCACATTACGTACCACGTAAAATAGCTGCTGCTGTTGCTGCTGAGCTGTGACAGACCATGGAACAATGAATCTGAATTTAAGAAGGATGGTGAGTTTCATTGGGCCACAATGTGCTGGAGAACAATGTGGCATTACCGAGAACAGTAGACAGGTGTTCTCAAGGTGGGGTCCTGGGACCAGCAGCAGCAAGAGCACCTAGGGATTTGTTAAAATGCATTCTCAGAGCTCTGGCTGGTGTAGCTCAGTGGATTGAGCTGGGCCTGCAGACCAGAGCATCTCGATTCAATCCCCAGTCAGGACACATCCCTGGGTTGCAGGCCAGTTCCCAGCAGGGGATGCACTAGAGGCAACCATACAATGATATTTCTCTCCCTCTCTCCTTCCCTTCCCTTCTAAAGATAAATAAATAGCAATAAATCTTTTTTTAAAAAGCATTCTCAGGCTCACACCACAGCTACTGCATCAGAAACTCTGCCGGTGGGGGCAGTGGGCTGCCAGTTAAAAGGGCCCAGGCTCTGCTTCTCCATGGACTGGTGCCTTTCTTGTGCATGGGCACCAGGAGACATGCACAAGGATATTTGTAGGAGATCTTTCCCTTGTAGAAAGGGAAAAAACCCCAAATGACCAAAATGTTTATAGGTGATTATGATAATGTACAATATTGTAATTGTTAATAATTGCAATACATGAATCTCAAATGTATATGTATATCTACAGATTGGTGAAGCTGTTTTTATGTCCACTGTGAAAAGTTGCTTCCAGAGAGGGTATTGATCGTGACCACTCCTGTGGAGAGCAATGGGGGTCCACAGTAGACTCTTGAGCAGGGAGTGACATGAAGAAAATGGCATGTTGGTGATTTTAAAGCCCCTATCTTATAGCTCCTACATTTGAATCACCGTGCACCTGTTGCTTTTCCTCTTGTTTTTTAGTGCTTTGGTCCCTTTTTATAGCATGTCTTGCACTCTTTCTTTAGAGAGAGAGAGGAGAAGGGAAGGAGAAAGAGAGAGAAACATCAGTGTATGTGTGAGAGAAACATTGACCAGTGCCCCCCACCATGGAACTGGCCTACAGCCCAGGCATATGCCCTGACTGGGAATCAAACCGGCTGACCTTTCAGTTCACAGACTGACACTCAATCCACTGAGACACCCCAGTCAGGGCAACTTGTACGTTTTTGATGTTGGACATTGTGGATAAATTATCATGGGTGTGCTGGGATGGAGTTACGAACTCCCAAAGAGGGTGAGGCCTTCTTACCTGGGCCCTGGTTAAGGCTTGCTTCTGGGCCTCATAAGAGCTGGTCTGTTTCCAAGAGTGCGGTCTTCCTGGGAAGCAAACTTCTGCACTCTCACAGGAAAGCCTGCACTGTCTGTTTGGGCCCCACCCCTGCAGGTGCGATCTACAGCCTGTTCTCCCAGTGCTACACAGGACTGCTAAATGTGTGCTCAGCTCCTCACCTTCCAGGTGCTCTTTTCTGCTTGGGCACCTAAGCAGGGTTTCCTCTCAAGTCCGAGCTGCCTGCTCAGCTCAGCAGGCCTGTACTTGCTGCCTTTACACCAGCGAGGAGAGGCTGCAGGCTGCAGGGTGAATGGGGTGTGTCTTGTCTTTGTCATTTCCCTTCCCTCAAGGGTCAGAGCCCCCATGTTCTGAGTTTGGCTGTCCTCCACATGCCTGTGTGTCTTTATGTTGTCCAGCTTTTATGTTGTCATTACAGGGGGTGGGGAGTTCAATATAAGGATCTGTCTGAAAGCAGCATTTTGTTTATTTACTTTATTTATTTTTAGAGAGAGAGGAAGGGAGAGAGAAACATGGATTTGTTCCACGTATTAATGCATTCATTGGTTCGTTCTTTTATTGGTTGGTTCTTGAATGTGCCCCGACAGAGGATTGAAACCACAACCTTGGTGTATCCACTCTAACCAACTGAGCCACCAACCAGGGTCTGAAAGCAGCTTTTTAGAAAGGTGAGTCTGATGGACAAAACAGCTGGGAAGAGGGCACCAGAGGGCTCTCCCTTCTCTACGTTTGCCTGGGGGTGGGGGGAGTGGTGCCTCTGCTGTTTTGCTGAGGGATGAGGGTGGTGGTGTGGAGGTGGCAGCAGTAGATGGCGAGAGATGAAGAAAACTGCCATCCCCTGGGCACAGCAGAGCCTTCATGTGCCACTCTAGCCCGTGGAGTCTCATCCTTCCCATCTACTCCAGGTAGCCCCAGTGGGGAGCTGGGTGCTGTGTTTGGGGAGCACTAGGGGCCACAGCCTGCCACCCTTTTCTCTTCCTATGGGCTCTTTCTTCTTTCTATCCATCTCTGTTTAACCAGTGATTAGCCAGGTCCTGGAAATCACTTTCTGGGACCAAACTAATGAAAATACCACTGAGCCAGAACTCCTGCACTGAAGTCTATCAACATTCCATCCTACACAAACATTTGCAACCAAGTCCTGTGATGAAATATTACACAGCTATGGAAGTGGATGGACCATAGTCACTCTCAGAGGGAATGAATGTCTCAGCATGATGATGGGAGTGGAATTAGCAGGACACAAGCAACTATCAGAGCACGTGGTCCTGGTTATAGAGAACAGGCAGGATAAAGGATGCTATTTGTGGGCGTGAGCCTGGGAAGTGGCAACCTCCTTGGAGGAAGGGCGGGGGCTGGGAGGGCAGGGGTTTTTGTTTATTTGTGTGCTCACTTTATTCATTCAACCATTAATTTATCTTTTTTGTGTACCTTCTCTGTGATATTACACTTCACAATTAAAATGTAAAGAAAGAGAAAGGCACTAGTGGTCATTGGACTTTCTGGGGGAGTAGGCTATTAAAACCTATATTCAGATAGTAACCAGAGGGGAAGGGGAGGGAGATAATGTGGGAAAGAAGGGAAAGGTCTTCAAGGAACATGTATAAAGGACCCATGGAGAAAGCCAAAGACAGGTAGGATTGAGGGTGGGCGGGGGAGAGTGATGGTGGAAAAATGGAGACAACCGTGTTCAAACAATTAAAAATGATTTAAAAAAACCCCATATTCAGGGCACTTTTCCCAGATACTTGATTTGGAGGCCCAGTAATCTGCTTTCTAACTGGGTCCTCCTGGGTTCTGAGGAGGAGCTCTGGCTCTGAATCTGTATTCTAAATGCCTGGGAAGAGCCAGGCGCCTGGCTGTAGAGGGGCAACAGCCTGAGAGTCCTTCTTTCTGAGCCGGCTGAAAGGCCCCTTTGAGGTTTTTTCCTAAGAGAGGGGGTGCCAACCTTGTCCCTCATGGGGTGCACAGCAATGAGCCCCAGCCCCAGCAGGAAGGATCTGGGGCACCCTTGCCCCCCAGAGCCTCCAAAAGTGTGCCCACTCCCACTCTTTCGCCTGTGCCAGCCACTCCTCCTTCTGAGCCTGTTTCCCTTCCGTCCCTTGCTCTACAGGAGATGCTCAGCAAGGTGTTCTTCTTTCCTTCCCAGATCACTGTGAAGGGCCCTGGGGTGGGGGGACTGGTAGCTTCCACACCAGGGTCACCTTCAGATTCCAGACAGCTGAGCACCACCAATTAGTTCCATCCTGGCCTCTCACGGAGAAGGGGACTTGTCCTTGCCCCCCACCGGCTCCCTTGGTCTCTACTTCCTTCTGTCAGGACAACTATCAAAGACTCAGCCTGATGAATTTCTTGGGAGCTCCACCCCAGGCCTGGGAGGAGAGGGTCCTGGGCTTTTCTCACAGGTCTCCCTGCTGGGTAGGCCAGATCGACTGACGTGGGGTTGGTGCATTCAGCCATGCAGGGGGCAGGCGAGGGGCTGGAGGCAGTAGGAAGTTGGCCAGCCCCTGTGTCCTTGCATACGTGTGTGGCACTGCAGCCTGCGGGATGAGGAGCCTTCATCTGTGGACAGATCAAAGTGAGGGATTGGTTTCCCTCTCTGTCTCCCCTGGAAAAGGAGGAAGAAGGCATTGAGTTTCTTCACAGGGTAAGTTCTCGGTGCTTGCGAGTTTCTCCTGGGGACTGGGCTAGGAGGCAGTGGTCCCAGCACCCCACCTGGTGGAATGTTCTGTGGCGAAAGACAAGTGGTCAGGAAGGAGGGGGGAAGGTGGGAGGAGTGTTCACTGAGGTGCCAAGGCAGCAGTGGGTGGTGCTTGCACATCTGGAGGGGCCGTTGTGAGAATTCTGATTCAGTCCTCCAGGCTGCCAGTCTTTTCAGCTGGCAAGGGTGTGAAACCTTTGGGGGTCGCAGCAGCTCACTGGGATCCTGGGGTGATCATCTCACCTAAACAGAAAGGGAGGATCATTTTCAGGGAAGTGATGGGCCTGGGGCTCGTGTGGATGCATGTATGCAGCTATGCAGGGGCCTGTGAATATAGGAGTGTGGTGTGTGTTCTGTGTAATTGTGCACGTGGATGTGTGAGAGTGGATGGTGTGTGTTTGTGTTTACAGCACATACACCTGTGTTGTGTGGTGTGAGAGAGCTTATGTTGTGTATTTACATATGCATGTGTGCAGTTCGGTGCCTGGGTTTTGGCTATAGGGTGTGTGTAGGTGAGTGCAAGTGTGTCCATGAAGAAGTGTGTGTTGAGGTCTGATGTGCATATATGTGTTGAGTAAGCTGTGAAGGGGAGTTTTGTATCATGAGTAATTTTGTATGTATGTATGTGTGCATGTCTGTGTATTGGTGTACACGGGAGAATTATGGGCTATGTTTGCAGCATGTGTTTGTGAACATGATGTGACTGTTGCATGTGCATGCATATGTGCATGCTTGTGTGTGCGTGCAGGTGTATGATGCATGTGTAGATTATGTCATGTGTGCAGGTGTGCTGCTAGTATATTGTGTGCGCATATGCACACAGGTGTGTTACATGCACGGGTGTTGTGCACATGCATGTGAGCACAGCATGTGTTTCACGTATGCGTTGTGTGCATGTAGGTGTGTTATGCATATATGTTGTTTGTGTGCAGGTGCCTGGACAGCATCCTAGGGACCATCATATCTCTCTTAGCCCTGCTCCTATTCTGTGCCCTGGTACCTGCCCCATGGGGGATCTGGAGGCTGTTGACCCCTAGGGCTGGGCAGAGTGGGTGGAGCACCTGGCCTGGCAGCCCGCTCTGGGTGGTGGTCAGCCTCAGCTTTATCTGCATAGAGGGGCATCTGCCATTCACTCTAGGTCACTGTGGGGGTCAGCCTGGTTAGTGAGGAGGTGGAGCGGGGCTGCCATGGGCCAGCTCTGTACACACCCAGCTTCTCAAATCAACCTGGGGCTTTGAGGGGAGGTGACATGTGGCCCTTCAGGCCAATGACATTAACAAGATGAAAGGATAGGAGTGTGTGTGGTATGTATGTGTGTTGTGTGACTGTTATGTGTATCATGCACACACACTGGTGTTATATGTGGCACACGTGCGGTGTGCATTGTATGTACATGTGCTGCACATGTGTGTTGTATGAGGTGCGGTGCAGCACATATATGCACGCTGTGTGTACTACATAACACATGTACATGCACACAGCACGTATCACCCATGGTGTGCGCACATGTGTGTTGTGTTTTGCATGTGTGTGGCATGTGTGTGGTATGCATGTGTGTGTGTCCTGTGCCCTCACCTGTTTGCCCAAGTCCCAGCTTTGACTTCACTCATTGATCAGATGACTCTGGCTCTATCAGCTCATAACAAAGCTCAAAGCTCCTTTTGCTGTCATCTCCAGAAGCATAAAAAGGGAGGGGACATCTCTGAACAACAATAGGTGGAAGGGGTTCTGGCTGATTCCAGGTCCCTTTCCAGAGTAAGACAGAGCAAGAGTCCACTGTGGCCAAGGCCTGGGGGGCTCCTGGGCAAGAGTTGGTCAACAGCTTCTAGCTGTGCTCCCGGGAAGCCGAGCCTGGGCACCCACAGAACCATAGGAGATATTATCATCCTCACTGACAGTTGGAGAAACTGAGGCTCATGGAGATTAAAACCTCGATACTGTGGTCCAGTCACAGCAGAGGCCAGAGATTCCCAAAGGTGGGTAAGGCGTTGGCAATGGGTAACAGATGACAACACGCCTCAAAGGACAGTGAAGCTCTGTTCCCTTTATTGCAAGTACAAGCAGATTCTTATATTTTCGTTTTAGGTAGTGATTAACATTTGCAGGTGTATAGCATGATCAGTTAAGCAGAAAAAATCAATACAAAGGTAACTAGGAAAAGTACAAGAATTTCCATAGTTTCAGTTATATTAAACAAAAATTGTTTTGACCAGGAGAACTATTAATCAGACATTTTAAAATAGCTCTATGTACAGAGTTTGAATGTCTTATTGTTTATTAAAGGTCTAGAATTTGACATGGGACAAAAGGTATGCTAGACCGAGCAGAGGTTAGGAAATTCATTATAAGGCCTTTGTGATGTCTAACTTAGCTATCTATCTTTCTGTCCAAAATTTTTCTCTATGTACTATGGACTCGAACTCCTTGGTAATTGTATCTATGTGCTTAGTTTATAGTATCCAACAAGCTTCTCCTGTTTCTTTGCCTACTAAATTCTAATTAATATATATTCCTGTTCAAGGTAAAGGAGGGGCTGTTACTCCAACAACTTTTAGACATTCAGGGGCTATTTCATTAGAGGGGATTAACTTGGGGGAGCGCTCTGGGTAATTATGGCTTCCTGCTGCCTAGTATTAACTTGTCCTGCATCTGCTTAACTGGGTCAGGGAAGGGAATATTCTTCCCCTTGGACTCACTGGACATTGTGGGCCCTTCCTCCTCTGGGCCCCAGAGAGGGTATTATTTTGGGGAAAGGCCAAGGTGGCATTTTTCTCAGTCTGACCTAGTTGTTGATCAGCTCTGAGAATGGCCATCATTTCTAGGAGATTCCAAATTATCAGAAAAGTAAATGTCAGAATACCAAGAGTCAGCAGGATCAGAATCAACACCATATATCCACTTATGCCACGTCCACCTGGCTGGAACACGCTTCTGTGAAGTCGTGGTCCTCATGCCGTGACTTTGTCAGACGACATGGTTAGCGTTGGACGTGGCACCTCAATATTAACGTTAAATAATGGACACTGAACCTTCACCAGGCTCTCAGCCCAGAACTTTCCATGCCTCACCATTTCACAAAAATCACCAGGATCCTTTATTCTCTCCATTTCACAGATGAGCTTGTTCAGGCCTAGAGATGCTGTGTGACTTCCTAAGGACAGAGGGCAGCTAACAGTGAGCACTCATGTTGTGCCGCCAAGGGCTCGAAGTGTGTGTTGCCCAGTTCAATCTCTGCTCAGTCTTATGCGTCATGTGTGATTGTTGTCTGTGGAAACTGAGCCTTGCAGAGAATGTGACTCACTAATTATATTAACAGTAGACACTAGAATGTGCATTCCGTCTTATATTTTCTCACCTCGTTGAGCAGATAACTTCACAAGTGTGGGTCTCTGCATGTCCCTGGGGGCCTAGCTCGTAGGAGAGGAAGTGTATATCGGGCTCTGCAGTTGCCCAGCCGGGGTGGATGCTTCCTGGAGATCCCTCCTCTTGCCCCCTCCAGCACCTGGTCAGCCACCATAGAAAATGGAAGAAAGCTAAACAACCCCAGTAATGTGTCGCTGGCACTAGATACCACCATCCTGGGCCCAATCAAGTACAGGATGGTCTCAGTCTCCTAGTGCTCCTAGTGTGCGTGGTGGGCATCATGGGCAATGTCATGGTGGTCCTGGTGGTACTGACCACATGGGACATGCATATGTCCGCCAACTGCTACCTGGTCAGTTTGGCCCTGGCTTACCTCACTGTGTTGGTGGCCACAGGGTTGCCAAAACAACTCTGAAAGCCTGGCTGGGCAGTAGGTCTATGGGCATGTTGGCTACCTGGGCATTACCTGCTTGCAGTATCTGGG